CGCAAACAGTCCTGCCGCTCTTGCTCCAGCTCAGGCGTGAACCATGGATTGTCTTTCCAGTTCGCCTGAACAACGACAGCGCCTGTTGGCCGCTCTGGCCCGCGCAGCATCACGTCAACCGGGTCAACCTTGCGCTGCGGATTCCATGACCACCACATTTGGGCGCCAGCCGCTCGCATCGTCGGGCGTAGCAGGCTGATAGAGCGAGCCGTGGCCGTGTGAGCTTCTTCCCACCATGCGCGACGGAAGCCCTCAAGCGACTTCACGCTGTCGGCGCTGTAATCGTTCATGCCCTTAAAAATGATGATGCCATCGCCGGGCGTGGCGATCACATCACGGAAGCACTTGAAGCCATCAGCCTCACCAAGCCCAAGCGAGGCCAGCTTGCCTTCGATCAGCGCCTTGGCCGATTGCGTCAGGTCTTTCTGGATCTCGCGGATGCAGAGAGCGCGCATGCCCTCGCCAATCTCACCGGGAGCGGCCAGGCAATCCTCGACCATCAGCCCGGCGAAGAAATGGCTCTTGCCTGAGCCGCGACCGCCGAACGCTCCCTTATCTCGCGCAGGCTCCAGCAATGTCAGGAAAGCCTCAGCCGTTGGAATCTGTATCCTTCGGCCTGACAATGACTCTCTCCACTGCTGCAATCGGAATAGCGCCGCCGTTTGGCCCGCTGATTTCCTGCTGCGTTTTCTCGCGCCAGTCGTCGGGGAAGCGGTTCTTCATCGTGAAAATGAACGCAGTAGCGTTGAAGCCCGGCACCTCGCCAAAGACAGCTTTCTTGCCGTTGTGCTCCCACCACCCCTGCGCAAGTTCCACCGCTTCATTTACGGCGGTCAGAAACTCTGGATTGTTTGCAGCCCATGAGTTCAGCGTCGTCTTGCTGACACCCAGCGCGAAAGCCATCTCCGCCTTGCTTGCACCTTCGCGGCCAAGCTGGATGACGCGCTCGCAATACTCTGGGCGGTAGTCCGTAGGCCGTCCGCCTTTCGGCTTGTCACTCATGGGACTGAACCAATTCAATGTTGATGACGTGTCCGCATTCGACGCCGCGCTCTCGGGCTATTTCTAACCCTGCAACAATTTCTGCTCGCACGGCCTCCATCAGATCACTTAGCGAAATCTCATGTGGCCCCAGAGCATCTGTCATGTCTCACACCTTGTCCCGTGCATAGTCCAGAGCCTCCAACAGCATCCAGACAGCGTCTTTTCTGCTCATGGCCGATGATCGCACCAAAAGGTCGCCATCTGCGTCATACGAAATCACCAGAACATCTTGCACTCCGTCGCACCTGCGAAGCGAGTACGCCAAGCACTCTTCAGCCGACATACGAGAGTGCGGGTCAAGCTGATAGACTTCACCAGCAGACTCATCAATCATGGGACCATCTGCCCTGCTATCTGCAACAGCCCTGCGATGCTGGCGGCTACTGCGGCCAGTGTGAGGGATGCAGCAAGTGTTCTTGTCATGATTGCCACCATGCGATCAGCAGGGCGACGATTACCGCCGCGACAGTGACCGGCAGGAGGTAGGCGCGGATAAACGCAGCCAGGATGATGATGCTCGCGCCAGCTGCAAACAGGCTAGCCAGCGCTATCCACGCCACGACAGCCAGAGCAGCCAGGAAGATGCAAAGCGCGCCGTGCGCCATGTCAGCCAGACGGTCGGGCATGGGCGCTCCAAATGAAAAGGCCCGGCGCTATGGCCGGGCCTGTCCACACCGTCGCCAGTGTGGGAGTGCACTTATTGCGATGGCCGGGCGCTACTCCGGCTATGGATGCTGATGCGCCATCCTATGGGCGGCCACCCATCGCGCTTCTGCTTTCAGCGCCGCATCGCAATTCTATGGCCCCACCCGCATCTTAGAGCGCGCACTCAGATGAAGGCACCGCGTTGGTTCGCGCGCTGGCATACATGCAACGCTAGGCCTGCATGAAGTGGCCGGGGCCGACCTGGTTTGCGCGATCAATCATAGCCACTAGGGGGGGGAGGGCAGCGAGAGACCAACCGCGCAATTACTACACCCCACATCGCGGCTAGTGGTACGATGCACGCTTGTACTCAAGCGAAGCCAGACTATGCGTCTCGGCTGGAGTGGATTAGCTTGCGCTGCCAGGTGGCGGGCCGATCCGGGGAAAGGAGAGGAAACCCGGATGGCGACTGACAGCGCAATCTCAGAATCAACAAGCCGGGCGCTTGACCCGGCTCAATGGCGGATTCCCACCAGAAATTTCGGCCCCGACATTGCCACGCGCGCGAGCGCGAGTCAAGCCCTTTAACGTCGGCGGCAGATCGGGAACCGGATGACGTTGCCTTTGGACCGGAGAGTTAAAGGATGCCTATCGCCCTGAATAATGATCAAAGCCGCCTCTCTGCGCCGGGATCTCCGCATCTCCGACGCGCTTAGCTCTCTAAACGCACCTACCCCGATAACCACAAGCGCCACTGCAACCACAATGAGCACGATTTCAAAGCCAATCACCGTGCCTCCCTCTGCATGAACCGCCAAACAGTATTCAGCACCTCACGCAATGCCACAACCCTGTCGCCGGGCATGGGCATGTCGAACACGCATAGCGCCGGCAAAATCTTGTTCGCCTCGAAGTGCTGGCCACGATCAGCGAAAGCTGCCTGAAGCCCGTCCATTCGCTCCCTCAGCCGCTCGACGGCGTGCCAGTCCTCGTTGTCGTTGCCATACGGGAGGCGGAAATTGCTGGCCGCGATGAACTCACTCAGGTGCGCGCTCACGCGAGGCGGCGTGATGCCGGTGATGTGCCGGTGATAGGACAGCCAGAGCTTGCCGTACCACTCTGCTGCGTCGTGTTGAGGCTGGCTGATCTGCCCTGCTGCGAACAGTCGGCCTACAGAATAGCCCAAAAACGGATTCTTAGGGTCGCTGAAGCCCCTTCGATGTGGCTGGGCTATGACGACAGCCAGAACCTGTTCTTGCGTCTCTACGGGCTTCCTGTGGGCTTTTGCGATGCGGCCCGATGCGGAGCGGATCACTCCCGCCACGGGCTTGCGACCAGACTTGCGCTTGAGCTTCGACA